TTTGTCTTCCGATACTCCTACACATAAAATAATATAATTTAGCTCAAACGTTGCACAATTAACCTCTAAACTAACAACATGTAAGGCGGGTAATGTACTAAAATTATAGCATTTTAGCCAAACATCACTACCCCACACTTAAACGTTGCTCGTCCTCGAGTCAACCACCAATTCACACTAACCTTGAGCACTTTATTTTCTTTTAAAACATCTGAGCACACCGTACCTATGACTATGGTTGATAGCAACAATTATGCTTTAGCATATGCCTTCAACAGACACTTCCCTTTACTTTATGACATATTTCAAAAAATTATTCAACAACAAAACAACATGATTATAACAATCTTAACCTCACAAACCGACTCAATATCATAATGCATTCATGGCTTGAACACTTAACATCATAGAAAAATTTAATAACGTCACATATCCCTTGCGAAATCATGTGCCCTCACAACAAGAACAAAAGAGTAAGTTGAATCCACACATTCGAATCAAGTGCTCAAATATATTTTAAGAACTTAGATAAATCAAAGAAATTCATCACTCTTACAAAGAGGTCACATGCATGCACAAAGTACCATAGGCTTGTCCATTATGTAAACCTCCACTAATGTAGGCTTGCTCAATCTAAAATTAATTAGGACTTTTTCATGATTATAACGTGGGCTAAGGGAAGGGTAAGATATATTTTGGATTAGTGGTTCATCCTCCCAAGCACTTTAACATATCACATAATAAACTTTAAAAGTAAATTCTTCAATCCACTTCAATTTCACAAACAAGATCACACCCAAAAATATTTTCTATTTCTTTAAGCACTGCTTTACTTTATATCCCACTAGCAAGAACAAGACAATAATTTATCCATCTATATTTTTCCTTCTTTTCTTCTTTTTTTTTTCTAGTATTGTTTTTCCCTTTTCAGTTTCCGCTAGTGGTGTATTACTTTACAAAACAAGTGCACCTTTCTTTCTTTTATTGGTTCCACTCGAAATCCATCCCACACTTAGTCCTTACTTCTTCTAGCGCTCATTTCACAATTAAAGTGTTTTAAGAGGTAAAAGGATCAAAATAATGATAATTAAGAACAAAGGGGTGTAGGCTTGTAAAGTGGTTGCCAAATAAAAGTTTATAGGCTCAAAAAGATTGACTAGGGATAATTTTTATTTGTGGTAAGCATTAAGTTCAAAAAGATCAAATAAAGCCTAAAATTATTTTTCAAACTGAGCAAAACCTAAATTTTCGCTTCAACTCACATGCCGGGCAAGTTCTAGACTCTAATGTAATGACACGGACTATACAATTTCTCACCACACATGGCACATGACTCACTAAGGACGGTTCCATTTCGATTCTCAAATAATTGTAGGGTATTAACTGAGCCACAAAATATTAAGCATCAAACACAAAGTGAAGCCAAGAAAATGAGATATAGGCGTCAATAACATATTTTCTACTCAACAAGGCATCATAAGCATTTTCAAACCATAGGGAAGGTACTATACATGCTAGAGCCTAGATATGCTACTATCAAACAAGTCAAAAGGCGTCTAGAAATTTCAACTTCCTTCTTTTTATTCCCTAAATCCTAATCTACTCTAAAAATAAAAAACTATGGCCCGGTTCAAACTACATCCCATGGAAAAGAATCGAGGCACAAAGAAAAACCACGAAGGATTATTACTACCTACAAAAATAAAAGAAATATTTTTGGATTTTTCTATTTTTTTAAAAAAAAATTATGTTTTTGGTTAGACTTTAAACCCTCAAGAAAACTAAATAATAGATCCATCGTCGGAAAAAGTCCAATATTTTTTATTTTTCTCAAAAATAATTATTCAATTAAACTAACACAACTAAAATAGCATAGAAAGTCACCCAGACAATCTCATCATCCCACACTTAAAATTGTGCATTATCCTCAATGCACAATCATAAGTACAAGAGGGTAAAAGAAACTCCCTGGTTGGCCAAAGGCCGAAGCATTAGCAACTCATGGGGTACTCAGACTTCTCCCATACTTGGTTCTTTGTGCAGGCACCCCACACTTAGTTCTAACCATCTCATTTGCTTTTGCTTTCTTCCAATGGCCTTGCTTCCCATGCTCCTAGAGAAATCAAAAACAACACTACAAGAATAATACAATAATAAAAAAAGAATTAAAAAAAAAAGTAAAGTTGGGTTGCCTCCCAACAAGCGCTTGATTTAATGTCGCGGCACGACGCGAATCACTTTTTGCTTCCACTTCGAACTTATGAATTGGACCCCAAGTTTTGATTCTGCTCTATGATCATGCTCTTTGGGCAATACAAATTGTTGCGAGCCAAAAATTAAGTGATGCTTTATGCACTTTTGGCTTTCAACCGAGGAGTGTCAGCTTGCCTAGACGGCCTTGAAAATTTCAGAATATAGGGCTCATCCACCTCATCTTTTTGACTCTTGCATTGGCTCATACAGATCAGTTTACATACCTCCCTCTGAACATTATGTCGAAGAATGATTGGAGTGAGGACCAATATTAGTAAAATTTCCAAGTTTTAGGTCATTTAAGCATTTTATCAAACACCTCGAGTGCATAGATCTCTACATCTCTTAACCATGTAATTAGTTCATCCAACTACCATCATTTACCAACAATTTATAACTTCCAATCATCACATGGGTGACCATTTATCTACACACAACCAACAAAATTATATCAATTAATCACCTTTCAATCTCCACCATGGTTATGTATTTAAATTGAAAATTTATGGCTTCCAATCACCATACAGTGAGTTCCAATAATTAATTCATACTCATATTCCCATAATAAATCCGTACATGTAAGTCTAAGCGTGTAAGATTACCTTTTTGGAAGAAAAATCTTGCAAAACCCTCCTTTGAGTTATTAAAGAATTTTCTTGAACATCTAAGTATTTTATGTGTAGATTTCATCAATACTAGTGTAGAAATGATGGAATTTCATACCAAGATAATGGGGATTGCTTACCTTCAAGAAGAGAGAAGTTGGTGGTCTTGAGAGAGTGGAGAAGAGCTCCAAAATTCGTCCAAGTGAAATGAACCCCCAAGGTGAGTACTTAAAAAGGCTTCAGGTGGGGGTAGCGTGCCAGTGCCAGCGCAAACTTCTATACTTCACTGGTTTTTCAAACTTGCTGAGAGGGCTGGCGTGCCACAATCCGCGCATTGCACTGTCCCTAGCACGCTCCCAGTTATTTTCTTTTCAATTTCTTGCTTCACCACTCACCCTCATTTGATACCTTGCTATGATATAGACCCGAATTGACTTCAAATTTTGCACACAAGTTATAATTGACAGTACGGACCTATTCCAATTTCCGAAACAGGGATCCGACCTCGACATCAATAAAGTCAACTCCCAGTCAAACTTTCCAAAATCTTTCATTTTTTCAACTCTCGCCAATTCATGCCAAAACGACCTACATACCTCCAAATCAACATCCAGACACGCTCCTAAGACCAAAATTATCATACGGAGCTATTGAAACCATCAAAACTCCATTTTGGAGTCGTTACACAAAAGTCAAACTCCGGTTAACTCTTACCGCTTAAGCTTCTAAAAATAAGAATTCTTCTTCCAAATTGATCATGAATCATCCGAAAGCCAAATTCGACCGCACACGCAAGTCATAATACTAATGTGAAACTGCTCGAGGTCTTAAACCACCGAACGAGACGCTAATTCTTAAAACGACAAGTCGGGTTGTTACACCTAAGCTCCCATAATTTCAAGATGTCATGTTTCTCAAATCAACAAGTTGAATAAAAACAAAATATAAAAAAATAAATTTCAAACTTGAAACCTAGCAATATGTACACTTACATCTACACCGTTAGTTTTTCGGCAATTGCGCCAAAATTTGATCACGCCCAACTCTACTCCTAAAAAGGATAAACAGTCGTTGCAAATATAATCCGGTCTAAAAGTCCGGAGTCGAATCCCACAGAGAACTAAGGTTTAGTTATAACTGTTTACTATCACTAAGAAGACAAGCTCTAACAATTCCTAAGTCATAAATATTAAGATTCTTGTATCTAATTAACCAACAAATTAAATTAGTAGATTAACAATTAGGGATACTAAGGGTTGGAGATAAGATTAAGGAGGTCTAGAGTTATGATTTCTCCAATTGTCGGAAATCTTTCCCCTACATCTTCTATAATTTCGCCTATGTATTCCCTACCGATTGTGAGTACTTCGGGTGTCGTAATTCTCTTCCGAAAAACTATCACAATTTACTAGACATATTCTTCCGAACTACGCTAGCTGACACTAATTCACCGCTCACTAAGACCGCACCAAGATTTTGTTATTCCTAATCCCACCTTTAAACCCTTTGTATTGATTCCTCACATACGTTAGGAGTGATGTTGTTCAACAACTACCAAAATATGTACCATTTTTCAAGCAATACACACTAAATAGACACAGTCAATTGAGGGCCCTTCAATCAACTAAAATAATCACGTAGTTGAACAAGAAGAGAAAATCCAACGGCAAAATTATATTAAATGCAACAGAAAAATTATCCTTCAAAAGGTTCCATCAAACCCTAGATGGAAAAGTTTAGTTACTTATAACCATACTAACAATCATGATAATAATTGAAAGCATTAAAATACAGATTAAGAAAGAACGGAAGAGAAAACTCTTGTGATTCGTTGCTTCCAAGTGTTCTCGTAACCTTCTTGCTTCTCCAATAATGTCCCCATTTTTGGTCGGATCTGCTCTAAAAAAACATCCCTTCCCTCTTAGACATGTTTAGGGAGTATTTATAGACTAGGGTTGAAGTCCTTGAGTCCAAATCCGGGTTGGAGACTTTTAACCTGCGACTTTTAATTACCGGGCTATAGACCTCGCGAAGCCAGGCTTACAGCGCGGTCAACCTGCTATAGACCTCGCGAAGTCTGGTCTGTAGCGCGGTCAAGCTGGCTATAGACCTCGCGAAGCCTGGTCTGTAGCGCGGTCAAGCTGGCTATAGACCTCGCGAAGCCTGGTCTGTAGCACGGTTTGGGTACTTCGTGCTTTTGTGCTTTTTTCTCGTATTTTTGTCCTCTTTTGTGGAACTTTCACTCGTATTTATCTTCCGATGCTCCTACACATAAAACAACATAATTTAGCTCAAATGTTGCACAATTAACCTCTAAACTAACAACATATAAGTCGAGTAATGTACTAAAAATATAGCATTTTGGCCAAACATCAGTAAATTCGGCCAAAAACAAGAAGCTATCACCATTGAGAAATTGATTAATAGAATAGGTAAATAAACAAAGGAAAGAAATAAGACTTTCACTATTTTCTCCACATTTACTACAAAGCATCATTGGACAAGAAAATCCAAATACCTTCCATTTCCAGTATAACTGATTAATAGAGGCAGTCAACAAAGAGGAAAATATTCTAGACAGGATCAAGAAACATCAAGGAAAATTCGAAAGAAATAAGTAAATAAGCAGTCAGCAATCAGATGCCAAATAGCAGTAATACTCCATATTACCATAAAGAATCTTCCTGATCACTTCTATCTTTGATGTATACATCAAGCACCTCAGAATCATGAAATCATTCCTAAAAGACCGTACTATAAGAAGTTTGATTCAGAACATGTCACGATGGTGTAAAGCCTTGGCCTCGGATAACATTAACCATAGTAGCTGTGCTCACTGAAGCCCATGTTTTGTCCACACCACCATGTTATTAAAGAGAGAGATGATATTGACACCAGTGAAAAATGATCTTCTGAATAATTTGAGCCTAAAGTTTCTTGTATCGTTTATCTCAAGGAACACATTTTTTTCTTGGGCCCTGCTTAAAAAAGGCAATAGCCTATGATCTCTTTTAAAATTGTCAACCACAGGTTACATGCAACATGTAGTACTTTTCCTGTGCTGAGTAAGAATTTGTCTTAAGAATACTTTATCTGTGCTGAGTAGTGTTGGTTGTCACTTGACCTTTTGCTTACTATACCTACATATTAACCAAAGCTGAGACAAGATACTACCTCTAGAATCTAGAAGAACTTCACTAGGTCCAATAGGGCTTTAGGCGGAATACTATCATGCCCAATGCATGAAAACAGAAGAACCAAAAACATAATCTACAAGCATTCAAGAAAAAACATGTTATTGGACAACCTGCAATCTCTAGGAGTCCTACGGAAGTCTTGTGCAACTAGAATTCTTTCAGAATCTCTTCTTGTATCTATATCTTAGAGTCCTTGTATAGATACACCATTGTATTATAAATATTGTGTAACGATTGAATGCAAAATGAGGAAAAGTTTTTCCATTCCATAGTTTCCAATCGTGTGTCTTATTTAATACATGTCATTCAGATTGAGATAGCCACATTTGTAAAAACAACAAGAACAACCATGTAGAAACATAATGATTTAGCCTCTTTGATAGCAATGAGATATGAGCCAACAATAACTTTGAGCTCAAAAACAGAAAAGAAACAACATATCAATAAAGTTGGTAAAACTCTTAAAACTCATTCTGAAATGAGAATGATCATGCTTCGATTTCAACAGATTCAGCAATAACATGTCAATTTGTTGTAATATGCTTGATACTTGATAGAAGCTTGAAGAGGAATGAACAATATAAGTTGAAAAATTCAACACACAAAGAATGCTTTGTTGTCAGTGTCTTCAGACTCCTACATTCTACTTTACACACAAAGAATGCTTTGTTGTCAGTGTCTTCAGACTCTTACATTCTACTTTTGATGTACAAATCATAGACCTCAGGCATTTCATCCTTGAAAGGAAGCACATATCTTTCTAAGAACTTCGACTCAGAACATATCACAGCAGTATAAAGGTTCAGACTACACTTTGTCAGCTCCTTTTGGCTGACTAGCTTCAAAACATTATGTCTAGGCAGAACTCTTTTCTCCAAGCTACATGTCAAAAACGTGGGATGAGAAGCCAGGTAATGAGACTCATATCCAAGTTCCTTCATTAAAAAATTTAATGCATTTTTTATCTTAGCTTCGGATTTTGTCAAACAGAGAGGACATGTTTGGACCAATGTAAAAATATCCGAGTCAGACCACCCGAAGCTCCTGAAGATTTCTAATCTCTTTTTCACCGTCAACTCGTCAAGCCATGCAAGTGCATAAACCCCATGTATGAACATGTTGCAATCGCGAGAAAGAAAGAAAGTTTTTTCTACTCGATCCACTAAGTCTTTGAGGCGCTCAGCCTTTTGTGTCAAAATTCTAGGATTCCAAAGCATAAGCTTCTCTATATCAACACTTGAAAACCCAAGATTTTGCAGCAATGATATATTGGGTGGCATTACTTCATGAAATGCATAACTAAAAAATACATTAGGATGCCTCTTAATGATCTTAGCAACAAAATCATCATTAAATAATAGGGTGTGAAGATAATCAACATTTTGTCTGATAGCACACCCTACCCTAGTGCTGAAATAACATCCACTGTTTTTGATGATTTTGACAAGGTCCTCTGACCCACATAACCCAACTTCTTTAAGAGTTTCAATTTTGGGCTTAAGGTATTTATCTACATCACAAAGCAGCAATGTGGGGACTGAAGAAACAACCTTTTTGATATGGGTCTTGTCTAAACCGACGTGTTCCAAGAAATTGAGCACTGAATTAGGGTTATAATTTCTGGGTCTCAAGCGACTTACCTTGGCACTTGTAGAAAGGGCTTCTCGTTGGGAGAAGCCAAGTGAGTTCACTAGTGTTTCTACCAAGAATTCGGTTTGGGAAGTTGCGGCAGCAGCTGTTGAGTAAAAGACATGAAATCTGAAGCGATAAACGTGAAGGAGATGCTTAACGCCATTGTTGAGAAACCCAGACATCTAGAGCAGCGTTTTAAGAGGGTTAAGCGTTTTACATATGCGCCCGAGACATGGTTAAGTACCATAAATATTTAATTTTTAATATTTTATAAAATAATATAATAACAGTAAATATTTATAAACAATTAAAATTACATAAAAATTGAAGAAAACTATAAATATATGAAATATATATATATNATATACACACACTTCATCCCCACAAAAAACTAGTCAGACAATCTATTATATGCTACTTACAAGCAATGTTTTAAAAGGCGAGGGCGTGAGACGAGGCGTTTTACTTGATATGGGGCAAGGCATAAGCCTGGAGGCACGAGGAGGGGGGCGTAAGCTACATGGATCTTTAAAAAATTTAATTTATAAATTAATAAAATAACATAATAACACAAAAAAATATAAAATATAAATTAAAAGTTAAAAACTAAAAGAAAATTAAAGGAACTCATAAAAAAAAATATCTAACATGATTCTTAAGTACAACTAATGCATACAAATCACGTATAACGTCTTTAACTTTCAAATAATTAAAAACTTACAATTTTTCTTTAAAAAAATGATCAAACTCCACATTTTACCTTCCTAAAAGTAAATAATTAATAAAATCTTATTAGTACGATAATTAAAATATTACTCCTTCATGAATAAATACAAATTAGTTTAAGATATCAAATTAATAAAAGTGTATAACAAGAAGGGACAAATGAACTAAGACACGACCAATAACAAGTGAAGATATAAATTCGCAATACTATGTCTCATTATTAGAGTTATGTTCAATCTTCATATTTCTATCGATGAATAGAACTTTTATCATTAATTTATTAAAGAATTTTGAAGGTCAACGATATTAATTAGGAAATTCGACACGTGATTTGCGTTAGAACTGTTAGGCGAGCCCCGAGCGTTGGGCGTTAGGCGTGTTTAGGGCGTAAGCCTCACAGAACTAAACCTCATACATGAAACCCAGGGCGTTTTGCAAGTGCCCCGCCCAGGGGCGAGTCCCAGAAATGCCTTTTAAAACACTGATCTAGAGTTGATAAATACAGAATCCTCTATTTGCCATGATTTGGATCTTTTTAATTTTCATGTCTTCCATTTCAATTTACGGAAAATGGGAAAATGCGCACATCTTTTTGACTTATTTACGGTCAACTTGACTTAATTTTTTTTAAAAATTTCAGAAATCATTTTATTACTGGTCCAATCCAATTAAATAAATAGAAAAGGGCCAAAACTATGACATAACTATTGGTTAGAGTTAAATATATCCATCTATTAGTTTAAAAATACCCGATTTTCTAACTTATCCAACGCAAACACTAATCCGCCCGTCCGAAATTAATAGGGCAATATTGGTTAGTGACTGATGGAAATCCGACCCTTCACAAAAAATAAGAATGAAATTACGCATATTCATTACTCTATGGTCAATATTAATTTGTTGTGGATAAGCTCAATTTGAGGCCAACGTTTTTCCTAAAATGCATAGAAATTGAAACTACCAAAACCTTATTTTATTTCTAATTAGAAGACCTATGAGAGAATCATGCTTCCGTTTATGATATTTAGTTGCTTCCGTTTATAACATATGGCCCATTTTACAGGCATGATGCAAGAGTGCTCAGTAGCATGGCGATGCTTTCGCTCAGCACAACAAGTGTGTGGGGGCATGAAATACATTGGGTAATGCCATGAGTTCTTAAATATGAAGTTAAAGCTTGGAATTCACCACTCCAATCAGCTTGAAATTGTTTAATGAGGCGGCCAAAAACTTAATATTCCTCATTAACTTAAATGTAAAATAAATGCTACTCTTAAGTCTACTGAGATCGCTCTTGCACTTCATTCAGGTGAATTTACTGTCAAAGGAGACCTCCCTGCCGCCATCTGTCAAAGAACTCAAGCCAAGATACATCGTCATCTGGATGATGGTCGACTTTCAACTCACGATGATTTCTCCAGATATTGTGAGTAAACTGCTAGTAAATGAAGCTAGGATTGAGTATCCAAATTGAAATAGGCATGTGTACATTGATGTTGAAAATGTTCCAAACCATTACACCAGTAGCATTCAAAATCTTATTGACATGTTCAGCACCAAGGAATCTTTGAAAATGGGGTAAGTGCTGATTACATATGTAAAGAAGCTGCTTTTAGAGCCTACAATGCTGATTAAATTAAGCATTTGGAAATATATTTTCAGCATATATTTTTACAAGAAAAAGCTTTAACTTGACTTCTTAACCAAATCTTCTTCAGCTATGTGTATTCTTATTAGTTTCTATCTTCTTGGAGTTTCGAATTACAGAAACCATAGTATAGTATTTCTTTTACTCTAACAAGCATTCTCCTTTTGGACTGAGATGTAGTAGTAGTAGTAGTAGTAGTTGTTGTTGTAACAACCCCTTCACCCTAGGGGGTCAAAAGATGAAAGACAGAAAGACAATGAAGGAACTTTAGCAGCAATACTATCCACTGATAAAAGATAGACTTGCAAATCATCCCAAGCAAGAGTATATCATTTGAATAGAGTGCTGCAGGTTATGGCTTTAGCAGCACCAAACTCAAAACGACCGAAAGGAGGTGGAAATTTCAGCTACAACCAGGAAATTATCTTGATAGAGATATACATTTATAAATCCACATAAAAAAAGGGAAGCCCGGTGCACTAAGCACCCGCCGTACGCAGTCTTACCATGCATTTCTGCATTTATAAATCCACATAATAGAAGGTAAAACTGTCTTCATTCTCCACTTAGGAAAACAGCATCAAATGGCAAATAAGAATCTATTCGTCAACAGAATCTCTCCTAAGCTATGAAAGGTGAACCAGCTAACGTTTCCAAGAAGAGATTTTCTTGAGAACAACATTATCCACAAAGTGGTTTCCTCGACGCATTCTACTATCGTCTACTATTCATGTATAACTCATAGAGCTCAGGCGTCTCATCTGTATAAGGCAGCACATAACTATTCAAAAATTTTGATTCAGGCACCATCAGAGCAGTATAAAGATTTAGGCTACTCTTTGCCAGCTTCTTCTGGTCAAGAAGTTTCAAGATTTCATGCCTAGGCAATACCCTCTTCTCCAAGCTGAATGTTAAGAGAGCGGGGTGAGAAGCCAGGTAACCGGCAAGCTCCTTCATGAAAAAATTCAATCCTTTTCCAAGCCTAGCCTCTGATGAGGTCAAGCATAAAGGAAGTTTCTGCACCAGTGTAAGAATTTCCAAATCGGACCACCCAAATCTCCTGAAAGTTCTTAATTTCATCTCCAAACATGATTCCCCAAGGGATGCAGTAACCATAAATCCATAGATAAACATGTTGGAGTCCCGAGGAATGTGTAAATTCCTTTCTACTCGATGCACTGCATTCTCAAGCCACTTAGTCTCTTTTAGAAGAAGAATCCTTGGATCTCGTAGAATAAGCTTCTCGATATCCTTACCTGAAAACCCAAGATTTCGCAGGAAAGCTACATTGGGTGACATTACTTTAGGGGCATTATACCAAAGGATTTTAGAGTCTTTCCTAATGGCTTTAGCAAGAGAATCATCACTACCTAACAGTTGTCGGAGATAACTAATATTGCGTCTGATTGTATTTTCAAGACTAGAAAGCAAGAAAATCCCAGTTTTTGAGAGGACTTTAGCTATGTCGGACCCAGATAATCCAAGTTCTTGAAGAACCTTAATTTTGGGTTTAAGGGTTTTGTCAACATCAGAAAACAGCAAACTAGGGGTGGCACAAACAAGGGTTTTGATGTGGGTCTTGTCCAAACCAATTTGTTGGAAGAAATTGATGACTAATTGAGGCTTGTTGTTTCCAGGTTTCAAGAAAGTTACCTTGGCGCTAGTAGAAATAGCTTTTTCTGTGGAGAAACCAAGTGAATTCACTAGCATTTCCGCCAACAAATTGTTGCGGGAAGTTGCAGCAGCAGCAGCTGTGGAGTAGAAAAGTTGAAACCTGAAGCGATACATTGAAATCTCACCAGTGAAGATAGAAGGGGGATATATGGCGATTGTTGCTTTTTCTCTTCAACTTTTTTATTTCAATGAGTCTCATTGCGTTTTTATCCCAATCTTCATTTGTGTTTTTGGGGTTCAAAATGTCTTTTTCCATAATGGAGAAATATACAAAAGTCTAATTCTTTGGCAAGAGACTTAAAATATAAACTCATTATGAAGCTTAGAATTAGATCATTATTTGTTTCCGAAGAGCAATTTTAATATCATTTGGATGTCAAATTACCTAGATTTTTACTTAATACTATTTCTTTTCTTTTTTTCTTTTAATTTCTTTTCTAAAGATATACAAAATAGTACTCCCTCCGTTTTATTTTATGTATATCACATAGATTTAGCACGTGGTTTAAGAAAAATAAATAAGATTTTTGAATTTTATAGTCTTAAACTAAAAATATGGATTATGTACCAAAATGCCCTTAAAATTTAAATGTGTCATAAAAAATGTTGAAGCTAAAAAGTTACTAAATATAAAAAGAAAAGTAAGACAAATAAATTGAAAGGGAGGAAATTATTCCCAATTTTATTATTATTGAAACTGCCAAGCCACCTGCTATACTCCATGTGATCCACAGTAAATGAAGAGCCGTGCAATCAAGATCACACTGTGATGGGACTCAAGCAAGCTCAAAGAACAATTACAACAAATTCGCAATCACAATCACGAGCGAGTTACATGTACGTTTGGCATTTTGCATTTGTTTAATCCTCTAATTAGAATTTCTGACTCCACCACAACTATCCACTAACTGCTATGACAAAATCAAAGGCATTATCAATTTGTAACTATGCACCAAACTCAGGACTGCAATTTTCATTTTTCCAGCGCGAACAGCAAGAACTCAGCAACGCAATGCACCTCAAGGAATATGTGGTAGTTACACAGATGAAAAAAGAAAGCTACCCTACTGATAACGCTTATCACTTCATTCGGTCCTCATTGCCGCTATCTGTCAAAGATACTCAACTAACCTGTAAAATTGTTAAGAGAAGAGCTCCTACACCGATAAATGGACATAAAGTTATCACCAAATATCTGTTTACTTGAGATGTAACAAAAAGGTGGTGAGGAAATGGGCAGACATAACAAAATCATCTGCGTGAGAACGACATTGTCATTATTTCACAAGACGACAACAACAACAACAACAACAAACCCACTAGTTTCCCACTAGTGTGATCTGGGGAGGGTAAAGATGTACGCAGTCTTACCCCTACCCTGAAATGGCAGAGAGGTTGTTTCCGACATTATTTCACAAGACATTCAAATTAAAAGCCTAAGTGTTTTCCAGAAACCTCAACATAAGTAGCTTCCCCTACACCAATCCATAGATTTTCTAGGCCAATCTCTTCAAGTACATGCTGATTGCTACCTCAAGGGGTTAGACATCAAAACCGTTGTTTCTAGGCCAATCTCTTCAAGTAGAAACAACGGTTTTGATGTCTAGACCACGTTGTTGTAAGAAATTGCTGACTAATTGAGGCTTGTTGTTGTAAGAAATTGATGACTTCCTCGTTCTTTGATTGTCTTCTTATCTCAACCCTTCATTCGTGTATTTGGGGTTGAAAAGGTTACTTCTTTATTAAGAGAATGAATTTCTCAACGTTGAATATACTCACTATGAATCTTAGACCATTATTTGTTTCATACGAGCAACTTTAATAAGTATCATTTGGATATGCATCTGTCATTTTCTTGGCAATAATTACCTAGATTTTTACTGAATACTGTTTTGTTTTCTTTGTAATGTTACATTGAACATTTGTTTTTGTTTTTTAAACGGCAATATTTGAGCCAATTTGTAAGACAATATTACTAAACATTATTTCACAATGTTATTCTTCAAAATTGCCAAGAACATCACATCAAATCCATTTTAAATGAAGTACCTGCAAACAAGATCACACTGCATGATTGCACTTAGAGGTGGCAAAATGAATAAATTTGCAAGTATCCACCTACATTATTTAAAAATGGGTTCTGATACCGTCTACTAAAAACGGGCCAAATATGAGCCCATATTATCCGCTAAAAAAATAGATAACGCGCAAGTCAAAAATGGATTTCACCCATCGATGACCTAGTTGTACAAGACTTTGGTTGACTTTTTGGAATTGATCCTTTGCAGATTTGCCATCTTCAGGACCTCAGCAATTGAGATTGCAAATTAAAAGGCACAAGTCAAGCTTCCAATTCGGACTCAAGCAAGCTCAAACAACCATACCACAATTTCCCACTACAACCAAGGGCAGACTTAGATGCAAGGAAGAAAGTTTAATTGAATCCCCTATGTCGGAAAATAATAGAGCGCAAATAGGGTAAAACCCCCTTTTTTGTTTACATTTAATTGTTAAATCTCCTTGACAAAAGAAAAGCTTTTGGTATGGAGATAAAGATGGTTCGATGAGGCATTCTTGTATTTCTTTTAAATTCTCCTCAAAATTTCCGACTGACCACCAATGTACACAAACCGCTATGGCAAAATCAAAGGCATTGTAAACTTGTAATTATACACCAAAAGGAACGTAGGACTGCAACAGCAAGGACTCAGCAAGTTACATAGACCTGATTGTCGTCATCTGTCAAAGAACTTAAGGCAACCTGCAAAACTGTTAAGAACAGAACTCCTACACCGATAAATGGACATAAATTCACCACCAAGTACAGATACTAAGATCTAGGCACTTGTTGACTTGAGATGGAACAAAAGAGTGGTGAGAAAGAGGGAAGACAGACATAAACGTGAAAGATGACATTGCTATTATTTCATAGCATAAATTCAAATTAAAAGCCTAAGTTAACGTTTTCCAGAAAACTCAATATAAGTAGCTTTCACCTACACCTATCCATTGATTTTCTAGCCCAATCTTCTTCAAGCATATGCTCGCTTCCTATACTGAATGCCCTGAGTGACCCCTCGTGGAACAGAAACCCGTGCACTAGAACAGATTGGGAGAAGGAAAGTATGGAACATGGAAGGCAGAGAGTTGGAGGCTATGGAGTACCCTGACCATGGCCGACTTTCAACTCAAAGTGACCTGTTTCACATGTCATTGTTTAGAATAAACATTAGACATCATATTTTCTGCATATACAACAACAAGTCAACAACAACAACAACAACAACAACAACAACAACAAACTTAGTGTAGTCTCACAAGTGGGGAACATATATTCTAACAAATAGCTGTTAATTTTCATTCTTAAACCAAATCTACTTCGAGCTATGTGTACGGTCCTTGGTTCCTATCTCTCCTTGATGTTACAAAGTACAGAAACCTTACCACCAGTATTTCCTCTACGCTGACAAGCATTCTCCTCCGCCTACAGGGACGAGAGAATGGAAAAGAGTGATTTGTTTACCCAGTTAGAAATCTAGTTCCAAACCTTAAAGGTTGCTAACAACTTGTAAATTAATAACCATGACGTTCTGCACCTCTAAATCGACCAACCAAAATATAGTCATTCCAGCACACCAATATCAACACATGTTGAAAGAAAATATGCAACGAACCAGATATGACTTTGCCATGGGCCTCACCTCATCTTCAAAACTCTTAGCGAGATTTTTCAGAAAGTGAAGAAGATGATGAAACCAATCCATCATGAGTATTCTTGTGTCAAAACCCATCAAAAAGACACTACACAGTAAATCAAGAACCTAGAAACACCAAAATGCCGATGAGAATTATGTTTACCATCATAAAGGAATGTTCATGCATATGAAAAGAATAGGTCTTCTAATAACGAAATGAATATGATACTGATGTTACCCAAGAAAATGAAGGTCCTGAGGGGTCTTTTGAGAACCTACAGCACAGAGGGTCAACTGCATCATGAAGCAATATAATGATTAAAAAACATCCCTGTAATCAACTAAGGAATTTTATGAGATATTACTTGGCTGATATGGATTACGCATAATCTAACATATGCACAAGATAAACTCTGAAAATAAACTTCTGGGAAAAAATAACAATCAATATAATGAGAGGGCTACATTTTAAGAGTGATTGCTAACCTTACAGCAGATTAAAAGATGGCGAGATCATTTCCTAGCTTTGCAGAAGCTACACAGAGATCTATGTGCCATGACATTAGAGGACATGGAGATCTGAGATACAATACTTAAGTCAATCAAGTTGCAGTTCTGCAGTAACTAGTGATATTTTTTCCTTATTAGTACTTTTTCTTTTACCTTACAAGGAGAAAAAAGCTATGATAGGGTACTGGGTTTGAACCAAATATAACAAAGAACTAATAAAGTGACAAACCTAATATTTAGAGAAATAGTTTCCATCTTATCATAGATTCACCGAAATACTTTAAACAGCTCTCAAATTATATATTTGAAAAGGAAACATTTTAAAAATCAGTTGTTCACCTTTTGTTTGTGCAGGTGAAGCGAAGCGCAGCTACAGTGAGGCCTTGAAAAATAAAATATGGAGAGTTTTCTTTGTCATAAAACATAAGTTGTTCAATGAACTCTTTCTGCGATCAGAGGAGGTCTAATCTCTTTTTATCTATGGCAGACAAACACCAGCTTCCAATCAATATAGTGCTTTGCTGTTTTTGAGTTAACTAATGACTTAACGGAACAGTGCATCCAGTGTCAGTTTACGCAATGGTATTTAACCAAGAAAAAGACGGAGAGGGGTGAAATAAAATATTTGCAGTTTTCTCAACATAATAGATGCTCTCCAGTTTTATGAAAGACTGTGAACCCAGAAGGTTAAGAAAGATGTTTTGGAAACAAGTGCCGTCACAATAAGAAGGAAAAATATATTTCATTTTGTTGCGACTGTTATAGTTTAATGTAACTGCTCTTATTTCTCCCTCTCACTCTTCCTCAGGTGCCTTTTTTCCTTTTGTTCTTTTTTTATTAAAGTAATAACATACCCTGCGATCAAAGCTTAAACAGGCTAATGTAAGAGATTTATAACAATCTCTTCTGAAGTATTTGCTCACCTCCCCTGGTTTATGTATTAGTGTCTTAAGGAGCAAAACCTCATGATCAATAATAAACAATAATCACCCTCGTTAAGGCATGCCTTCAGATCATTGATGTTCCAAACAGCAAAAGGGTTATCACTTTTCTGTTATCAAACCAAAATGGATTACATGATTTCGGAATGATAATGTCCTCAATCACCAGTTTCATCAATGAATGTTGACACAATAGCAGCCAGAATTACAATTAAAACTAACAGTATTCATAAACCAGGAAATCCTTGTATGAGAAAACAATAAACTTACTATCTTAGTTTCGACCTTTGATGTAAAAATCATACACCTCAGGCATCTCATCCCTTAAGGGCAGGACATAATTTTCTAAAAACTCCGACTCAGAACACTTGATAACCGTATAAAAACATGGCATTTTCTTTATCAGTTGCTTCTCCTTTAGAAGTTCCAAGATTTTATTCCTTGGCAAGACCCGCTTCTCAAAACTGAACATTAAGAGCGTGGGATGAGAAGCTATGTAACTAGATTCGTACCCAAGCTCCTCCATGTAAAATTTCAATATATTTCTAAGCTTAACCTCGGACGTAGTCAAACATAAAGGAAGCCTTTGCACCATCATAATAATATCAGATTCAGACCAGCCAAAACTCCTGAAAATTCCAAGTTTCATTTCCAAATTCGACTTACTAAGCGACGAGAGCATTTCCACTCCATAGAAAAACATCCGAGAATCCCTACAAATGCAAAAATCCTTTTCCACTCTTTGCACAATATCCTCAAGCCATTCAGTCTTTTGAACAAAAATTCTCGGATTCCTAAGAATAAGCTTTCGAATATCCAAAGTCGAACATCCAAGATTTTGCAGGAATGAAATATTAGGTGACATTACTCTCTGGAGAGGATAGCTAAGCAATCCAGGAGTTCTCTTAATAGCCTTAGCTACATAATCATCAGTTCCCAATAATTTCCTAAGATATTCAATACTTGGTCTAATGCCTGTATTCAGGCCTGTTCTGAGAAAAGCCCCACTTCTTGAAAGGACCCTAACTAAATGGGCCCCAGAAAAGCCAAGTTCTTGAAAAACCTTAATTTTGGGTTTAAGGGTTTTGTCCACGTCAGCAAACAGCAACCTAGGTGCGGGAGAGACCAACATTTTGATCTGGGCATTGTCTAAACCGATTTGTTTGAAGAAATTAACAACTAATTCAGGTTTGTGGTTATTTCTGGGTTTCAAGCAAGTTACCTTGGAGCTTGCAGAAATAGCTTTTTCTGTGGAGAACCCAAGTGAATTCACCAGAAATTCTGACATTAAGTTGGGCTCTGCATTTGCTGTAGTTGTTGTGGAACAAAAGAGTTTAAGTCTGATGCAATACAAATGCCTTGTTGCACCATTTTTACCAATTCCAAACATCTGACTAAAAGCGCTGTTCAGTTTCGGGTTTTTGGAAATGCAATTTACCCGTTTACTCCACTGAAAAGGAAAGGGAAAAAGGAAAACCCTAATCCTATTTGAGCGAAGCCGACGGGAAGGGGAACTGGGGGTTACTATTTTTTCGGTCAAAGGGTCTTGTCCTTAAAATGGGTTTAAGTGGTCTAGTTGGCATCTGATGTGGCATGGCAACTTAGCATTTTAGCTGACTTGGCGAGGCACATTAGCTTGGCGGTGTGAATTCCTAGACGCATTAACTTGATTTTTGGGTTAATTAAAATTTATTTTGAATTATTTTCAAGTGATAAAAATAAGACTAGTTACCCGCCGAGTTAGTTGAGCAGGCCTTCCCAAATGTAATGTGTGGGTTCAAAACTCACTTGCATACCTCCTAGGTCAATGTCGCCGTACAGAGTTTGTCTAATGCGATTTACTTTTCCGTGTGGTTGGCAAGTTATTATATACGAGCGAAGTTTATCCTATGTGTACCCAAAGAGTGGCGGTTGCATGTTCCATGTTAACAAAAAATAATAATAAGACTAGAGAGTTTTATGTTGTGAACATCCACTTGGATAAAATAACCGGTTACTACCTTGGCGTCTTATTCTGGGGTAAAATTTAGAAAATCATATATTCATACCTAGTGGTTACATCAAACTAAGCAATTTAACTTTAATAGTTAAAAATTAAAATGAAATAAATATTATTAATTATAATTAAGTGATAAATATATGTATGAAAGTTACATATCTTATATTCATTTGATTTTTTGTACATACTGTGTTACCGTCAAGTTGTTACCGCTCATGAACCTCCTTGCTACTTGGGAGTTTGGCAATGAAGTCACTCGAATAAGTTGAATTACAAGGAGAGCAACTCCATCCTTAAAAACAATCACGTAGAAATAAGGATAAATTCCAACGTCTAACATTGTGACCATTTGAAAAGGGCAAGTACACAGATAGTCATTCTCATGAATATTATTTAGAGATTAGTCAGTATTTAATTTGTCCTGAAATTTTAAACAAAAAATCTTAATTTTAGGACATCTCAGGACATTTTTGTCCTGAAAAATTGAATTGAAAAACTGAAATTCAAGATGCACTTGCTAATTCCTAAATAGCAATCCTTTAGAGTGGTTACCTAGTGTTATTTCTATGTTTGAAAATGCTAAGAACATGAAAGAAATTGATCCAAATTTGGAGACATGTTTCTCATGGAATTACCTATTTGACATTTGAAAATATTTTAGCCATGAATATCTTTATCATCTATATTATTCCTCGTGTTAAAAGGCAATTTTGACATTACATCAAAGCTCATCATCTCTAAAAACTACTAACAAAATATGAAAGTATAAATAGCAGCTCGGTACATAAAGCATTACATATTTACGTAGGATCCGGAAAAGAGCTTCACTCCAAGAATATAATGTATACAACCTACCTTAACGTGAAAGCATATGGCTTCAGTTTAATGGCAAACAAATACAATAAATAATCATTTTACTTTCACATATCATACTTGTAGTATTTCAAGAAAGCACCCTAAACTTTACTAGGAAATTCAATTACGCAGTTCAACTTTAAAGGTTCACCTCTATTCTTGCTTGAGGCGCAAGGGTGGCAAGTGGGACTGGTAGGACCGCTAGAGGTGGACTTGGGCCGGTCTCGTGGGCCGGTTCTTGCCTAGGAACCATTAGGACCGGACCCTTGGCGGGCCCAACAGATATTTTTTAAAAAAAAAATTAGTCGTTTGGCTATTTTAAAAAAGAGCTGTTGGGCTTTTAAAAATAGTCGTTGGCTATTTAAAAAATAGCCATTTAACCCTCCCAACTTAGTTTTAACCCCAAACTTTTTATAATTATATTTTTTCCTTATTTTCAACTATAAATACCCTAATTCTTTCATTTTCTTACAAAATCAATATCAATCTATCACAATCTCTCTCTAATATTCTTCTATACTTGCTACTATTGCTTAACGTCTGAAAGCTTTGACCGAGGAAAAAAGTGTACCTAGTCCTAGTCAGGTTGACCCTAGTACCGGTTCAAATCAATTTCAAACGGGAATTAACACTGCTACTGATGGTATTTTATATTATGATCTAAAAAAAGATCGGGAAAAATTGGCAAAAATGGTAACTGTTATGTGCTTACCCTATAGCTTTTCTTTTGACTCTGCGTTTGTGCATTATATTAGAAAATATTTTAATCATACTTATAAAGGTTTTACTCATACAAACTTATAAAGCTATATTTTATAAATATAAGCATGAGTATGAACAATATTTTCGTTATTTATTTACTCATATAAATTGTCGTGTTACTATTACAACTGATATTGGTAGAAGTAACAACGACTGTGATTACCTTACTATTATATGTCATTGGGTTGATGAGGATTGGATAATTCAAAAGCGCATAATTGCTTATAAAATAATTGCTTCACGTCAGACATGACAGTTTATTGCTAACACAGTTACGGATATTTGCAGATATTTTTGCATTAGTGATAAAATAATATCGGTTTCAATGGATAATGCTACTAATAACACAAATGCTATAGACTTGCTTACCACTACGCTAAATCCTGCATTTAGTAATATTTTTCATGTGAGATATATTTGTTATATTTACCATTTAATTGCGGGTGATGATATGAGAATTTTAAATATTCAAATTGAAAAGGTTAAAATGGCTCTTAACTAGCTTTTTCATTCAAACCGTAGAAGTAGACTTAGAGAATATTTTAAAAGATGCGATGAATGTTGCCTAAGAGAAAGAAAGGTTCATAAACCTTGGCCAACTAGATGAAATTACATGTATGAAAGTTTGGTTGTTGCATATGAATATAGAAACCCCGTAAAGTTAACATTTAATGCACATGTAAGTGATGATGACGAGCACTTTATGAATGGGGATTAGGCTAATGTTAAAATACTTGTTGGTTCTTAAAAAAAAAAAATCATATTGCTACAAATGAATTTTTTAGGCAATATTATCCTACTATTTCTAACTGTTTAGTTTATATTACAGAGCTTGCAAATTTATTTGCTCATTTTTCAAAGGGTGGGGAAATTTATAAGCTTGCTATTGATTCTATGAGAAAAAAGTTTAAAAAAATATGTTTTCCCTATTCCTCTTATTTATGGTGTTGCTACTTTGTTAAATCCTTGTATGAAATTAGGAGGTCCTCAATTTTGGTATGAAACTGTTTATAATGGTTTAGCACTTGAAAGATGATGAGTTGCCTAAACTTCCGGAAGCAATAGCCTCAATTAGAATAAATGCTCAAACTATTTATATGCTTATCAAGTTGAATTAAATCATGCTAGACCAAATGTTCCAACTCCTCCTTCTTCTGATTCTCAATTATTTAAAAGAATTGCGGGAGTAAGAGCACTTAGTGCTTGGGCGGGTTTTAGGGGTTCTTTTGGCTCTAGTAGTAATAATTTTTCACAACTAAGAGATAGCATGTAACTTGTATGAACAAAAATTAGTATGTATTATGTAACTTGTATTTTGGCACATCTTAATTAGTTTCTTTTTTTTCTCAATGGTGGTATTAGCACCTTGTTGTGCTCATTCCATAGGGAGAGGAAGACTAAGAAAGATATTGCCATATTTTTTATTGCTATAATAAAATTACAAGGTGTGAGCACCTAAGTTTTGACTATATTTGAATTTTTATAACCTTCTACTATGTAAATATTTTTAGAAATTTAATATATATTTTTTTAGCTTTGTTATATTTTTTTTTATATAGGGTAAGAATTAAAAATAATTTAAAAGGTCAAATTATTACTATTAGTATTATTTTTATTTTTTATATTTATTTTAAAATAAAATAAATTTAAAAAAACCGAAAAAATTATTTTTTTTAAAAAGATTTCCTGATGGAAATAAAATAATAGAAAAATTAAAAGTATGGAATAAAAAAGTAAAAGTAAAAGTAGGTGAAAATTGTTTAATAAAAAAGTAAAAAAAAGTGAAAAATTAAAAAAAAAGAAGTAAAAGAATGTGGAAATTTTAAAAATGAAAAGAAAAAGAAATTTGGAATTAAAAAAGAAAAGTAAAATAAGTGAAAATTAAAAAAAAAGAAGTAAAAGAATGTGGAAATTTTAAAAATGAAAAGAAAAAGAAATTTGGAATTAAAAAAGAAAAGTAAAAGAAATTGAAAATTTAAAAAAAAAAAGTAAAATAAGTGAAAATTAAAAAAAAAGTAAAATAAGTGGAAATAAAAAAAAGAAAAGTAAAATAAGTGAAAAATAAAAAGAAAAAAAGAAAAGTAAAAAAAGTGGAAAAATTAAAAAATAAAAGTAAAGGAAAGTGGGGAATTTATTTGTTTAAAAAAAGAAGAAAAATGGGAAGTGGGAATTGCTTTTTAATTACAAAATAATAAAATAAAAAACTGAAAAAAATTCGATTTTTTTTCTATAAATAGAAGAGAAATGTAAGGAGAAAGATAGAAGAAAAGAGAGGAGGGAATTGAGAGAATATTTTTTTTTCTCTTTTTCTACGCTAAGAGAATTTCTACTCGTGTCATTCTTTCTTCCTCTTTCTTTCGAAAAATCCAGTAAAAAAGGAGCAGCAAAACCAGCTGCGAAATAGCTCGAAAAGAACTTCAAAATCAGTCCCGAAACTATCGTTAAAATGAGGTGATGTTCGAGTTCGCCGGTTCGAGGTTCCGGCGATATCGCCTTTAGAATCCTTCGATCTTGGTTCAGATCTCTAGCAGAAGTATTAAGTCGAATCTCTTCATTGTACTTGTAATTGAGAGCTCCCATTTTAAATGAAAATTGCGGCTGATTGAGGTCCGTTCTTGCCTCTTTCGATTTATATTTTTTGGTCGATCTTTTCATTATGTTTGTTCACGAATCTCTGTTTATGTGTTTGCTTGTGGTATTTGTTGAAGAATTTTCATTGGTTCATATCCTGCTTTGCCATGAGTTTTGATTGTTTTGCTGATTAAATTTTAGAGTTTATATTTGGTTAATTAGTTAATAAATTAGGCCATGTGATTTGTTTGTAGATGTGTCTTGGACAGTGAAGATTTGGCAATTAGTTGGAATTGGTTGACATATGATAGTTTAGTTTTGGACTA